GGCGCGGGGGGCGCCCGCCCTCCTGGTGCCGCCAGTGCCTGTGCTGGTGCAGGTGCTGGTGCAGGTGCTGCTACTGGTGCTGGCGGCCGCGCCCGCCGCGGGCAAGGTGAGTGCGGGGCGGCGCCACCCCCATCCCGCACTGCAACTCCCACCCTCCGCCCGGGGGCACGCCCGCCCCATCCGCCGGGCGCTGTCCTGGAGACCCTTCTTGGTGGCTGCGGGCTCCATGGAGGTCCCTAGGCGGGCAGCGTGGGGGATGAGCAAGCGGAGTTGCCCAGGGAGCAGGTGGGTAGGTAGGTCAATGATCGCCAGGGATGAGTGCGTGAGAACACGTGATGCAGAGACGCGCGGTGTCTCAGGTTGGTGAATCAGAGCAGGCAGCCGTGTCTGGAAGAGAGCACACAGGGCTGGTAGTGAAAACGAGTCCTGGCCCTGCCTCTCCTTAGATGTCACTTCACGCTGAACTCTGACCTCTCTGGGTCTCGGTTTCCTCCTTGCCAAAGCTTGTGCTCCAGTGTTCAATCCTCATCATCAGGAAAAGCTGATGCCATCACTGAAGAGTGAACACCACCTTAGAGGTAGAACTGATGTTAGTATAAATGAAGCAACCTGTCACTTTCATTTCCAGTAGGAATTGGAACGATCCCCCTTTCATTTAAATCTAGCCCATATGTCTTATTCTTTGCAATTAAAGATAAGTTGTCTCCTATCTGTTATGGCTCCTAGAGTTGAGTAACTTGATTTTAGGTTGTGAAAATGAAATTCAACTTTTCAGATTCTCTCTGTGACTTTTATATTAAAAATTTTAATTTGGAAAAATAATTTGGGGTAATAATGCAGTTGTTTCATTTCCAAGCATAAGCAGATGTTTTACAAATTTCATGACTGAGATCATTATTGGATATTAATAGTCCCGTGGTTCCATAAAAAGATTTTTGGAACCTTTGGCCACATGTAATCCAAGTACTTTCCATGCAAATTAAAATGTAAATTAAAACATTACAGTTGAAGCTAACATGCCCTTGATAACCTCCATACATTGCCCCCTCCTCTGTCTAAACAAGGTATCTACTCACCACTTCATGTTTCTTTTGCAGCATTTCCTATGCATTTACCTGAACATATGTGGACCCACAAACATTTTTAACATAAGTGATATGATTGATTTTATATGTATATATTATGTTATATGTTATATGTTTGCTATATGTTAATATCCTGTGCAACCTATAAATCTGTCCACGTCAGTATTTAAGATAGATCTATCTCTTTTTTCTTTTTTGCCCCCTTGCGTAGTTTTCCACAATATGAATATGCCAAAACTATTGGGCCTTTCTCCTCTTGACTTACAAAACTTAGGCTATTTAGTGTTTTACATTTTATAAGTTTTGTAATCCATGTAATCTCTGCATGGAGCTGGTTCTAACCAATGTATTTTGCATAGACTAGGAGTGTGCAACCCAGGTAGCTCAGTACTTCTGGGGATAATGGATGAAATTCATCCAAGTCAGTGTAGATTGTCTACCAGCTTTAATCCAGGAATAGATAAATCCAACAAGCAAACAACCTCGAGGAGATGTATGCTGTGGGAAGGCTTGGGGGAAAGGTCCAGAGCAGGATTTGCACATCCTTCTAAACTCAAAAAAAAAAAAAAGGAGATATGTATTAGAGAGGAGTGGAGAAAGAGAAGGGGAATCACATGTGTATAAAGATCAACCAGGAAAAGTGTGCTCTGTGATTATACAACCTCTAATTAGACTAATTTTCAATTATATTGTCATATTCCCATATTATTATTTTTTATTGATTTTTTTTTAGAAAGAGCAGAAGAGAGAGGGATAGAGAGATAGAAACATCGGGGAGAGACGTCATCAATCAGCTGCCTGCTGCACACACCCGCACTGGGGATCGTGCCAGCAACACAGGCGTGTGCCCTGACCAGGAATTAAACCAGCGACCTCTTGGTTCCTGGGTCGATGCTCAACCATGGAGCCCATATTATTTTTTACACGTCAAATTTGAGATAACAGTTTATCTTTCCTCTTTTGGCCCTAAAAGTCCAGACTGGGCAGAAACATGGCAAGCAAATACCAGGAGCTGAATAAGAGCTGGATTTAGGGAGGATACTCACCCAACAGAATTCATTTTTAAATTTAAAAATGTAGGTTGAATTAGGAAACATTTCAAACTAACAAGAAGTGATGTGACAGACACCATTGTATCTGTCCTCAAAAGTAAGCAGGCATGAATAAGCTTTAATCTGTTTGCTCTCACATTTCTCCCCTTTAGGAAAAACAATGTATAAATAGAGAAGGTCACACACACAGTCTTTACTCCATCTCCCACCCCCACGAAGTGTGCACACAGCTGACCATGGGTTTGAACTGTGAGTCTACTAATTTTTTTTTTTAATAAATGCAACAGCCCTTCCTATTCCAGGGTTTCACATCCTCGGATTTCCTGTCAGCAGATTCAATCAACCGTGGATCAAAAAACAACAGTATTTCCTCATTCCCAACTGCACATGGAAAATACTGTTTTCCAGCAGAGGTTGGTTGAATCCACCAATGCACAGGGCCAACTCTAGAGTGTGTGTGTGTGTGTATATATATAATTATGCCATTTAAATGTGCAGAAAATATTTTATTCCAGTCTTTGACTTATCTTCTCATTTAATTATTGGTACCTTAATGTATAACATTTTTGTCTACTATAATCTCAAACTTATCCATTTTTTTCCTTAGTATTTTGTGGTTTTCATCTTTTGAAGAAATCCTTTCCTTCCCTGGTATAATAAAAATGTTCTCATTTTTTTAAAAAAAAAGCTTTACAGTTTAACTCTTTTACATTTAGAACTTTTAATCCTGTAATTGTTTTCTACTTAGAGAACATGATTTCATCTTCTTCCATAGAGGTAGCAAATTATCCCAACACTACTTATTGAACAGTCCATTCCTTTCCTCACTGTTTTGTAATATTACATCTGCAAACATGTGTAGCAAGCACTCATTTATATTTGAGTCTGTTTTCATATATGGGTGTGTTCATTTAGGGATTTACTTTCTCACAATGGTTTAGGGTTTTCTGTTTCTTTACTTCCAAATTATTTAATATTTTATCACTACTGTAAATAGCATATTTTGCAAAACTTAATAGTCTAACTATTAAAGATAGAGCAAAACATAGTTGAATTTTATATTTTAACTTTAATAAGGCAACTTTGAATAGTTGAAATGCATTTAAGGCTAAAAAGTTTCCTCTAAAATACTGCATTAGCTGCACTACACACATTTTCATAAGCACTATTTTAATATCATTAAATTTAAAAATCTTTTCTAATTGATTTATTTGTCCTATGTGTTATTTAGATGTTTATTTTTAATACCCCAAAAATATGGGGATTTTCTAGTTATCTTTTTTATTGAATTGTGGTAGAGATAATATTCTAACTTCAAAGATTTCTATGTAAATCAATTAGATCAAGATTTTTGATCATGCTATTAAAATTATAATGTATGTGCACATGTGTTTCTCAGTCTGAGATTCTATACTTTTCATCAAATCTTGAAAATTCTCAGAAATTTCTTTTTTATATTTCTCCTTTCCCACTCTCCTCCTGTAGCTCTTAGGATGCATGCTGGACCTTCTCATCTTTTCCTCCAGTTCTCCTAACTTCTTATATCAGATCCCTTCCAGATGCTACTCATCTCCTCTTGGCCTCGCTTTGCTCCTGGGTCGTGGGGACTTACTTCCCCAGCTGTCACCTTGGCCATTGATTTGACCCAGGTGACAGCCTGATGGCTCCTGTAGATTCTATCTCATGGCTTCTTATTGTGCTCTAGAAATGTAGGGAATTAACATCTATGGGGCAAGTCTTTGCCCAGTGGGAGACAGGAGCCATTGGATAAAATTCTTCTCTCCACAGAACAACTGTCATGAAGTATGAGGGTTATGCAGACTCCCTATGAGACCAATTGCCAGTTGTACTTGAGACCAAGTTGTAGCATTTTGAGCTTTTGTTCTGGTGCTGCTTCCCACCAGGCTGCATTCTATGAAACATACTCATACCCATCTTTCAATTTTTAATTCTATCTTCTGTTGATTGTAATTTTCAGATTTTTAAATCTACTTTAATTTTCAATAAAAAAAATCAGGTCAAGGGCATGTACCTTGGTTGTGGGCACATCCCCAGTAGGAGGCGTGCAGGAGGCAGCTGATCGGTGTTTCTCTCTCATCACTGTCTCCAACTCTCTATCCCTTTCCTTTCTTCTCTGTAAAAAATCAATAAAAATATATTTTAAAAAAAGAATTAAACATTACCAAAACAGCAAACACTTGGAGAAATGAATGGAGATAAGGAGAGAGATCTTAAAAACCAATATGGCACATCTCACTTTTCTTCTTCAACTGTAAACTAGACATCACTAGAGTTCAGCCAGGTAGCAGGTTTAGTGTTTTCTTGAACCAGTTACCTCCCGAAAGAGCCATGTTTTGTTTTCTGAAAGTGGTGGTACTGTATGTATTGTAGATAAAGTATTCAATACAATGCCTGGTACAAAGTAAGTAGCCAGTTTTTATATTCTAGCTATAGTTATTTGATTATTACTATGAAAAGCAGGACGGAGAGAATGGGACAGAGACTTAGACATGTGGCCAGGTGTTGGGAATTCACTGAAAAACTAGACAGTCTGCATCCCTGGCCATGGTTAGGAGTCTAGCAGAGTAGGGCAGAGAGACAACAGCCCAGCAAACAAGTGTGTAACTAGATCGTGGTGCCTGCCAGGACAGAATGGGATGTGGTGACCGAGAAAGAGAGATTCGACCATAGCTAGAGGTGGTTGGGAACAGCTCTCTAAGGAACTGACTCACAGGCTAAGCCCTTACATGGAGAGAGCCTTGGGAAGCATTGAAGAATGTGGCCAGGCCAGGGTTTCTCCATGGCGGAGAGAGGCCAGACACTTCCAATTTTACGGCTCCTGGGTTGTCAAAGAATAAAACCAGACTAACAGAAGTTTTTTTGTAAAAAGAAAGAGAAAAAATTGAGTTAATTTGCTCACCACAAAGGGAATGTATATACTGAGTATTTTGCTAGAGGTGGAGTGAGGA